GAGAATTGTTGTTTTAATATTAAAAATCTTTGTAATAGCCTTAAAATATATTTTTATCTCTATTTATAAAGTTTAAGGTTTCAAAAATAGTGTAGATAAACAGATCTATAATAACTTGAAAATCTTGAAATATTTGAGGTAGGCTCTTAATTGATTGTTTTGAGCCTCGGCTTTACATAAACTTTTAACTTACAAAAGACATACTCATAATGGTGTTAGAGGTAGAGAATGCAAGGTGCGAGTTTCGTAATATTAGTACTTAAAATACGTGTCCTACGTGCATAAAATTTCACGCCACGAAGTAGACACGGCAAGCAGCAGTGGACACTGCCATGCGACACTCGCTGATTTGGTTCCGATTCCAAAATGTAGTTCCAAGACCATGCGGTCTCTATCCGGAAATCACTCCACGGTTTCACGCTCCTGCTCGCCAATAATTTCAGTTGCCTCGTTATCCCTACCTCCCTCCCTCACTGTACATACATACTACACCTCTCTCTCTCTCTCTTTCTCTCCTCACTTTTTCTCTCTCCTCTCTTTCTCTCTCCTCTCTTCCCTCTCTCTCTCTCTTACACGCACAAGGTATACCTTCTTTTTCTCTCTCTTGCATTTCGCACTCCGCCGTCTCCGCTTCTCACATTCTGCAACTTTATCAACTTCACCATTTCATGGAGGTTACCTTCCTCTCCAGACCCCCATTGCTCCCATTTTCTCCTTCTTCTTCTTCTTCTTCGAAATACTTGCCTTTCTCCTCCTTTCAAACCCTCTTCAGAGTGGATCTCCTGGGCTTGGCCAACTCTCTCAGACCTCCTGCTCTCCGCTCTCCCAAAAAGTTCAGGCCATTAGATTTAAGGTTTCGGACTCATCGCTCTCATGGCCTTATCTGTCGAGCTGCTTTAATGGAGACCTCTGCTCTTATCGCAATTGCAATTGCTGTCGTTGCTGCCATCCGCTTTTACTTAAATTACATAAATCAAAGGCATAAGAAGCCTTCGAAGGTCAGGAAATTCATTCATTTCTCTTTCTTTGTTTCTGTATCTATTTATGCGTATTCATTTGTTTCTTTTCGCTTGCGTTTATCCGGATATGTCATGTGGTGTGGTGCTTAAGTAAATAATGTGCAGGTCATTACTGAGACTACAATGGAGGCTCAAGAAAATCTCCAAACTGAGCACTCAATACCAAAAATAAACTTTATTGAGTATGATGAATGCACTAAGGAAGTGGCTGTCACTGCAGCAGCTGCTTCTGATGTTTTCACAGTCGTTGCTTCTAATTTTAAGGGATTTCACTCTCCTGATCTTCGAAGAATTCAAAACACAGGGGGTATACAAGAGATGGTTAAAATAAAGGAAATACAAAAACCCAATTTTCATTCTGCGGGATCAAGTGCTAGGAACCCTTCTTATGCCAAAGCAGCTGAAGTCATGAGCTTGGATCTTATGCCAAAGAAATTTGGTGAAAAGGGTGATTGTGACTTGGATAGTTCAAGATTTATCTGCGCAAAAAGGCAATTGGATGAAGAATCTCAAGGGGAAGCTCATGTGAACACCATGGTATCCATGGCCCTGGAAGCATCACATTTTAAGGGCTCCTCTGATAACTTAAAGCGTACACATGCAGCTGTAGTAGTCCATCTTAATCATGAACATAGATATGGAACAAATAGAACCTTTGGTACTCTAGTCTCTGGTGAAAATGGGGAATGTAAAGGGCTGGCTATGGAGCCTAAAACAATCGATGGAAGTCAGTATGGTGTGTCTTTTTCAATAAGCTCTCAAACTCCTGGCACTATTAATTCCCACATGGACAAAAATAACATGGAGTGTCTGTCATTTAAGTGGCCTCATAACCACAACAAACTGGGACATGCTGCGAAGGTTATGAATAACAATGCAATAAGCTCTCAAACTCCTGGCACTACTAATTCCCACATGGACAACAATAACAAGGAGTGTCTGTCATTTAAGAGGCCTCATAACCACAACAAACTGGGACATGCCGTGAAGGTTATGAATAACAAACGTAAGCCCAGCATTTGTCTGGATTCTTCTTATTTTTTTCTGTCATTGTTTTCTTGTTGCTGTTGGTCTTTGTAGATCATATTTTATTTTTCTTGACTGTATGGGTTTCTTTCAGTTGTTTTCGCTCATTTCAACTCATGCCAATTTTCAGAAATTTTGGAAGGAAGAGTTCTCTCTCCATATGATAAACAAGGGTCTGTAAAAGCAAGAAAGAAACGAAACAATGGAATTGGGTTCACAGTTGACAAGGAAGAAAATTCTGTTCAGAATGATGTTGGGAGTTTCCCGCCGAGCCGTCTACCCAACGAGTCTGAGAAGGAAAAGGATGACCTATCCGAGTACCTCAGGATGTATAATCGCTGGTTAAAACATGGGAGGTACTACTGATTGTTGATTTTAGCTGTTGTCTAAAGAACTTGTGAATATGCTCTTTTCATTGTTATGTAACATTTGTGTTGTTGCTGGTGGTCCTATAATAAGTAAGAATAGTCACTGTTGAAAAGACATATTCTCTTATGTACAGGTTGCATTCTTGAAGAGTTAACTTTGGACTCTCTCGAGTCGATTTGTTTAGAAATCAATTAATTGAATTTTCATTTTTCTGACTTGATTAGGTACTGTTTCAGACTTTTAGGTAATGCACAATTAGTCACTTAAAATCTCACCGCGTCGTAAGAGTCCGGCATGTTATCACTTATCACCTCTTTTTAAGTTATTTTTAAAGGCTATGTTTCATTGAAAAGGCAATATAAAAATGTAAATGCTTGAAGCTTGAGCATTTTAGCCACGAGCAGTTTGCTTTTATGTAGAGGTCATTCTTCATTCTGTAGCTCCTACAATCCTTCTCACCAATTTGGGACTTTTCTTTCTTAAGCATGTGTTCCTGGATTTTTTTTATTTCGAATCTTGCACGCTTGTGTCCCTCTTGTACTCTTTTTCATATAGCAGCAAAATTAAATTATCAAAGACTTTCTCATATTTGTATTTCCAGGAACTATTTTGGTATACTTGTCTTAGGGGCATTGTGGCAATTTAGTTATAACTAATGAATGAATTTTGTATCTCACATATGCGTAGTTATTGACATTAGTACTTTATCTTTTACTTTTCCATTCATTGGCTTAATTTTAAATTTTGATTGTTCATAAATCATGGCTAATCAGATTGAATGATTGCATACAATTGCTAGAAAGCATCGACGAGAAGGCATTGTTAGATATGGATAAGGTAGTGATTATATTTCCCTAGGAGTTTATGTTTTGCATATTTGATCGGCTATCATTAGAAACTTTATCATGTTGCTTTTGTTTCAGATTTACCACACACGATTTTTGAACATGTGTAAAACACAAAAGGCTGTGGATGAGGCATTTCGTTTTGTCCAGCTGGTTAGGAAGCCATCCTTGAGTACATTCAACATGCTTTTGTCAGTGTATGCAAGTTCTCATGATTCAGAAGGTATCTTTTAGTGTGCCATTAGATGATGCATCTCTAGGGTTTTCATGTTGAAAATTTGAAGTTCATCTCATTATAATGATTCAAACTTAAGTTTTTATCAGGTAAAATACCTGATTTGCATATCATATATAGGAGCATTTCGTGTCCTCGCGCTAGTCAAGGAGGCAGGATTAAAAGCTGATTGCAAATTATACACGACGCTAATTTCAACTTGTGCAAAAAGTGGAAAGGTTGACGGAATGTTTGAAGTATGGCTTCTTTACTTCTGGCTAGTGAGAACAAGTACTGCATTTGCAACCTGATTTATGTTGACACTCTGTATAATATGTGTGTGGATGTGCATCCTTAGCCTTAATGCATACTTGTAGAGTAGTAAATATGTTTTTTCCCCCCTTTCGATTTAGCACAACTAGGATGACACGAGTTGAGTTATGCATGAGATTTGTTAATGAAAGCGTATTTTGTATGAAACTAATATTGCGGTTGTACTACTCTTTTATACCCAAATTGCAATTATATTTTTACACGACAAGGTATTCAAATGCGATGGGTATTGCACATGGTGTGGACAAAGTGGGATTTACCAAGTTTCTAGTCTTGAAATGTTTTGAATGTGCACAAGTGCCTCCATTCTCTCTTCCCCTTTCTTTAATGGGTATAAAATTTTCTGAGGGCACATCTGAAATGACGATGGCGGTTTGTAGGAAACTTGCATGTGAGAGGCATTCTCATTTCTCACTCTCAGAACTAACGTGGATTCGTATTGGAAATATTCTCTTTGCTTGCTCCACTCCCTCTCCCCTAGATTTCTCCCTAGGCTCTTCCAACCACTAAAGACCAGATACCCTCTGTGGCTCGGTAGAAAACCGTAACTGGAATGATACAAGGACAAGAATATAGCTGATAACTACTGTCTTGGCTTTGATCGGCGGGTCTCTGAGTCAAGTTGAGTTGGGACTTAGGTGAGTCGATTCAGTGAGTTACGTAACCCTGTTATGTCATCTGAAAATTGTCAAATAATACACGGAAAGTACACATTGATGATGGTGTGATATTTTTTCTTGACAAGGCATATAGTCACAAGAAACTCCTACATTAATCATGAGAAATGAATGTAACAAAGAAAGGCTATAAGAGCAGTCAGAATGGCCCAGGGAATGAACTAAGTCCTGAAGGCCTATGCCTTTATTTTCAAATAATTAATATTTGAATTCCAAGTCTTAGGATCTGCTAGCTTGGGTGAACATCACAGTGTCCTATGACTTGATTTCAGGTGGACTTCGCGAGTTTATGAAAGAAGAAACTGGTATAAGTTATACAAGTTATGCTTGCATCAACAATCAATCTACTCAATATTTTAGTGGTTATGGAGTGTTTCCATTGCATTAAAAAGCACATTAGGTCTTTTTGAGCTTTTTCTTACTGAAGTTTGCAATTGACTTGGATATGTTGTCCTTTTAGGGAATTATATCATGGACATAATGTGTATTGTATTGTGCACAGGCAGGCCTTGTACCATTTGCATGAACTTCTGTACGGACTGAATATCATTGTTCCATGCAAGGGTTTGCCTATTCTGTCTGTCTTGAGAATGGATGGTGAATTGACTGCCTGTTGTACAAATATAGTAGAACCATTTATATCTATTCGATACTTTACTTCTCATTTGACTTTTCTAACCATAGGAGTTCTTAAGTTCTTTTAAATTTCTCTAATAGGTGTTTCATGAAATGGTCAATACTGGAGTTGAGCCAAATGTCCATACGTATGGGGCCTTGATTGATGGTTGTGCTAGGGCTGGACAGATTGCCAAGGCATTTGGGGCCTATGGGATTATGAGATCCAAGGTACGAGATGGGTGAGATGTATAGTTTTTTCTCTTTACTGATTTTAGTCCACATTTTTACATATTTTATGCAATTATTTTAAAGCCTAATTTGAACGAATCACCACAATGCATTGCTTTATTTTGAACATGGGAGTTTGAAGACGTCATCCATTCGTTTTCTTTGTTTATGTAGTTGAAAAGCAACTTCAACTTCTTTATCCTTTTAACCTTTAATATTAATTCTTCTGTTTCCTTAGAATGTGAAGCCTGATCGAGTTGTGTTCAATGCACTTATCAATGCATGCGGTCGATCAGGAGCAGTGGATCGTGCATTTGATGTTCTATCAGAGATGAGAGCTGAGCCTCAACCCATAGATCCTGATCATGTGACTGTTGGTGCATTGATGAGAACATGCTCACAAGCCGGACAGGTACACTTCTCTAATTTAGTGTAAATTTTGTTTATGGTTTTTAAGATATTTCATTCAACTTAATTTCTATTTCTAGGTTGACAGAGCACTTGAAGTATACAAAATGGTCCATGGGTATAACATCAAGGGTTGCCCAGATGTTTACACAATAGCTGTTAATAGTTGCAGTGAAAAGGGTGATTTGGATTTTGCCTTGAGAGTTTATGATGATATGAAAGAGAATGGTGTTAAGCCTGATGAGGTACTTTCCATAGCTTCTACATTACTGGGTATGCAGAACTTCAGCTACTCTCATATTATTTGTCTGATATCTAACAATGCTCTCTTTGGAAATAAAGTTGAGGATCTTGCTAGCGTAAGGATCAATATCATATATACTGTTTTTTCATTCTCTATCGCTGCAATTGATTATGGTTTCTTGAATGAAATTTAGTTATCCATCAATGTAAAAATAAAAAAGATACATGTGTTTCTTTTGATGCTGATATTGCTTGTTGGGATATCTTGACAAATTTATGTTCCTTGTCCTAGATTGAACCTAACTCATGCTATAAGATTCAACAAGCATGTCTGCTGACATCCCAATTGTCAATACTGTGTTCATCTTGAAGTAACCCAATAGCGTCTCGTAGTGTTTTTTACTGCATTGCTGATGGTTATCACATGGCCAAAGCCTTCTGGCAGTTAGCCTTCAGCTTGTCATTTCCATAATCTCCAGTAATGGTTCAAGGGGAGAAATCAAATCATTGCCTGGAATACCTGCATTAATCATGCATGGCCTCTAGAACCTTAGAGTCTCAAAACTGCACCTGGGTAGGAGAGGTGTTTTATAAACAACTATTAATCATTCTGAAGGGTAGGAGAGGTATTTTAAAAAAATAGCCAAGTAAAACAATCATTTGAAATGGGAATCAGATCCTATGACCATTTTCTGGTTCCTAGTTTCTGGAGCATCTACATGATTTATGCCAGTGTCACACTGGCTGATATGTTCCCAATTTTTAATGATGAACAACAAATTGAGAGATGATGTATACATATTCTTGTGTGGAGGTAATTATGGAATGCTCATAAGCTGTAACTGGAAACTCGGCGGAGTCCTCTCGGACTTAGTCGAGTTACTTAGCCTCCACTGTGTCCTTCTCAGACTCAGTCGAGTTACTCAGCCTTGGCTTCTTGCTGAGCCACGTAATTGGGTGAAACTCGGGTGATTTAAATATATATATAAATTTGGAATCAACGTATCAAATTAAATATGTAATTTGGATTTTTTTTACAATTACATGTGATTTTTAATGTCATATGCCCTATATTTATATTTTCCTGTTTTGTTTTGGATGTTTTTGATGTTTCCTACATTAAATAAAAAATTTCTAAGTCCATGTTTTATATATATCTATATATATAATTTTTTTTTTGGGAGTTTTTGTTGTCTTTGATTTTGTTTTACGAGATTTGTTCTATTTTTAATGTTTTTTAATTTTTATTTTTTTAACGACCTTTTGGTCCCTGTACTCTACTTGGCGGAGTCCTTCCGGACTCAGGTGAGTTACTCGGTTCGGGCTAGGTAGGAATCTGAGGCCTGAGCCGAGTTTTGAAACATTGCTCCTAAGCTTCAAGAACTAGTCACAAAAATCAGGCACAACAATCTCAAATCTAGCTGGGATTGTATTGTAGCTATTTTTTTCTTTAATTAAAAAAAAATAAAAACTAACTGTAATTGGTAATGTGCTAGGTATGTTTGTATTTTGCATTCTCTTGTTGCTAATACTTAATGATTTGTTTGGTGAAAATTTCGTCAATTCATAAGCTCTATGCAACAACGCAATGCTCTCTTTGAACCTTCACTTAATTTTCACCTGGGATTTTTTATTCTTTTTGTATGCAGTAAATGTTAGTTGACGCATTTCTGTTGTTGTTTGTCAGGTGTTTTTTAGTGCGCTAATAGATGTTGCAGGACATGCTGGAAAGTTAGATGTTGCCTTTAGTATCATCCAGGATGCCAAAAATCATGGAATACAGATCGGGAACATATTATATAGCTCTGTAATGGGAGCTTGTAGGCATGTGCGTCTATTTTTCCACCTAATTAGAAGTTTCATCTCATTTTTTAATTTTTCCATTAATGCAACAATAGAATTAATTCTCGATATTATTTGCAATGCGTTCATACCCCATTTTTTCTAGTCCTTGTCTTTTTTTTTTTTTTGATAATTTTTTTGTAGTTCTTGTCAAGTATGTAATTAGTGCCATTACAATGCTGTGACCAGTGCCTTTTCTCTTCTCCATTGGCTGCTTTCTATCTGATGTATCTGTTTTCTTACAATTTTGTTTACTTGTTAATTTTTCATTGATTATGGAGTTTTTTTGCCATGAGCCAATCTTCACTAGGATATGTCTGAGTTGGTCCAATTTCTTTTTTTCAGGCAAAAAGTTGGCAAAGGGCACTGGAGCTGTATGAAGATATCAAATCCATCAAACTACTTCCAACTGTGTCAACATTGAATGCTCTGATCACTTCTTTGTGTATGTCTCATCTGAATTAATTATCTTCTATCTAGTAAAAAGGAATAATTGTGGAGGGTGATGCGTAAATGGGTTTGCCATTTTTTGGGGTTTAAATTCAATTTATACGTTTGACATGATGCTTAGAAAGCATCATTTCCCTTAAATATCAAGCTCTGAACTGGTAATAATAAGTGATTGTATATATGTTGTCCCATTTCTTGATATTTTAAGAAGAACAGCAATAAATTAATGAACATTATTTTTTGATGTCTCATTTGATGAAGACATTTTATTCACCCACAAAATTGGTGGTAGAGGATGATACTCTTAGTTTGCTAGGATTTATCTTGTGATACAAACGTATCAAGTTTGCAAAATACATCACAATGACGATCCCAAGTTGATCTGAATCAATACCTAGATCTTCCTTAGAGGAAGGGACTTACCAATTTTCTTTCAACAAGTCCTATGAGATTCATCCTGAATTGTTTGGAAAACATTGACCCTTATTGGAAGATATATGTTAATTCTTTTAAGGAAAAAGTTTATATAAGGTTGAGGCCGTAAACAATCAAATTAAATCGCACCTTAAAAATTCATTAGAAGAGGTTGTTTCAGTGTCTTAAAACCCTCATATGGATCATCTTTTGATACTAATGTACACCTTACTTTGATTGTTTAGGGCCTCAGCCATATACAAACCACACCCTTCTTTTAATGTGACATTTTCTCTTCTGGTGTGCTTCTAACATTTTAACCTCAAAAACTCGCTGGTTGAGGTGAAACAGGGAGTTTTAGAAGATGATACTCTCAGCTTTCTAGGATTTAGAAGAATAGCAATAAATTTGATATTTTAAGAAGAATAGCAATAAACTAATCAAACATAATTTGTTGATTTATCATTTGTTGAAGAGACTTTATTCACCTACACAATCGCTAGAAGAAGATGATGCTCTCAGTTCCACTTTGGCCAATATGAGTTTACCTGGTACTAGCAGCTTTATCGGGGAATTTCCCATCTTAGTAGGAGCTTTCCAAAGAAATAGCTTAGTAGCCACATTAGCAGCGCTTGGGATGATTTTAGGTGCGGCGTATTCCCTTTGGCTATATACTAGGATTTATTCTGGGATGCAAGAGTCTCAAGTTTGCAAAATTCATCAAGGTGACAAACTCAAGTTGATCTTCTCTTCCCACATTCTGACAGTGATCATTTCTGGAATAAAGAAAAGCAATGTGCTGTATAATTAATGTAATTCTGCAAATATTTGGGTAATGGGACTCTTTGCTCGGTGTTTATGCAGTGAAACCACAAAGCAATGTCTAGGGTTCCAATTCCACTGCTTATCCCAAAATAATCCTGCAAATATTTATTTAGAATGGATAAATTGTTGGACGTGGACGTTCTAGAATTAATTTTTTAGCAGCTGGTAATCAGTTATCAACCCTTTGATTGTAATCAGAATATCTTGTTCTGGTTTAATATTTGGTTTGCATGTGTTTAGTGTGTCAACTTGTCAAGGATGGTGATTGTTGTTACATTGTCAATATTTGCTCGAATGTAAAACAGCACCAGTTTTATTACAGGTGAAGGTGACCAACTTCACAAAGCAGTGGAAGTGCTAGAGGAAACAAGGGAAGCAGGCATGTGTCCAAACAGCATAACATACTCTATCCTCTTTGTGGAGTGTGAAAAGTAAGTTGACTTCAATTTTTGTTGTCCCCCGAGAAATTGTCATGTTGAAACAATCATTTTCTAGAGAAGCTTAATACTTCTTTTTGTACTTCAAGGAAGGATGAAACAGAATGTGCATTAAAGCTTCTTTCATATTCAAAGAAGGATGGGATTGGCGTTAATCTCATAATGTGCGGATGTTTCACTGGTAAGCTCACCTGATATGGCTTATTCATCATACTTGTTGCCTTTAAATCTGGGTAATTCTATACTACTGATATTTGTACTTGTATTTATAATCAATTGCTGGGAAGGACATCTTAGCGTGTTTAAGCTTCTTAAACACTTGTCGTATATTTGAAGTCACATATTAATCCAACAACCGTTGAATATTAGTCTCAAAATTTTGTTCATTTTATTGTTTAAATAAGTTGTCAATGGGCCAAATAATTTTGAATGACTTGGTTACTCTTGTGATTTGAACTCCATTCATGTTCTTTGCTATTAATCATGTAGCCTGTTACTCATGCCATGGAAGGTCTTTGCTTGAGGAGGTATGAGAAGGCTTCTGCCCTTGGTGAGCCTATTTTGGCTTTCAGTTCGGGAAATGCTCAGATCGATAACCAGTGGTATGCAGTTTAAGTGGTTTTCATTGACAACTTGTGGTTTCTCTTCATTTTAGATTCTGAATGCATACATTGTATACGTGTTAACCATGCATGCTGAGTATGTTCATATAGAGATTCATGGTATCGTTATCTCTTCCTGTCTCACATTTAATTTTTCTAAAAGTCATTACTTTCTTTGAGATTGTATGTTGCTTTTGTAGGAATTTCATAGTCAATCATGTTCTCCAAATCTCTGATGGATTACTGTTGCATTGAGCTCATATTCTGGTTCTTCCCTTGACCATGCGTAGGTTATGGATGTTTCTTACTACTGATAATTTAATGAACCAGTAACTAGC